TAAAAGTATCACTAAAACATGGTTTTGGGTATTAGAAACCTTTTGTCACTGAGAAACTGCACTAACTTTCTCCCTTGTTGCTGAGTGCCCAGTGTTGCCATGACTAAATATTAAGGGAGTCTATGCTGTAATATTAATTCATTTTAGCTATTTACAAAATAATATAGGATATGCAAATATATCATGGAAAAAAGCTGACTTTTTAAAAGTTTTCTTAGTAATTGCTTTTTCTTTCCAGCATAGTTTCCTGCGGATATATTTATATATATGCTCACACAGACACAACAGGCAGGGTGGTGTGCCAATAAAAATGTAACAATTGGCTCTCTAGGGCCAAAAACTCTCGGCCAATTTCCACATCTTAACTCCTGCATAGTGGATTTCAAGCTCCCAACATTAGGTCAGTAAACTCATAGTTGGGAGAGATGAGCACAACAGGCTCTCAGAAGCTGGCAGAGTTGGCTACAGGGCATGGCTGTCCCCTGCCTCTGCATTACGCATGAACATATATCATATATAAATATCTCATAGTAGATATCAGACATGTATGATTTCTCAATTAAGCAAAGAATAATTTCTTTAAAATCATGAAGTGAAAGTTAGAATCCACAATCATTTTTATCATAAATTGGTTAAGCTAGCAAACAATAACTTAGGGCATGTGTATAAGGTAGATAATTTATAGTTGTAAGTAGTTGAAATGGTTAAAAGGTGGTTTGGCCTTCTCATATGAAGGTAGAGCCTAAGTGATATAATTTAGAATTAATCATTAACACATTATAAGCAGGCCTGCAAAAAAAAATTGGGAATATACATTGCCCAAAATGAATAAATCAAACCTGAAAGCAGCAAGCCTTTATGTGAAGCATGAGCAAATGTCAACAGCAATGCTTTATATACTTGTTTCTTGGGTCATTTATCTTCATGATGATTAATAGGGTGAGTAAATATTTGCTGGCATAAGAACGTACTGAATCACATACTGTATTACGGCTATGGGGCTGTCTTGAATTCTGTCTTTGGAATAGCACCAAGAAACATGCTTAGGGAAGACATGAGCAGCAATTTTGAAATTCATAATAAATACGTATTAAGCTACTATTATGTGCAAGGCACAGCACTTAGGCACTGCATGGTACACAAAGAGCAATACAGTCTTTCTTCTCAATGACTTTATAAGCATGAAGGGGTGACAGTATTTAAAATACAGGAACTAGTAATACCCCTAAGAAGAAAAGAGCCTATTCTTTGGGATGTTATGAAAAGTCTTTTGGGACAGATATGAAAATATTTGGGGACAAGGTGGTATTTGATAAGAGAAAACTTTAGAGTGGGCAGCATTCCTAAAGGTGGGCAACTAGCAGTATCGGAGCGTGAGACCCTAGAATGGGCGCAGTGTGAAGTCGCCTGGGGTGTATTACAGAGGGCCAGCAATCAGCAAGAGGTTACTAGGCTTACACTGTAAGTGATGCCAAGCTATTGGAGAGCACTGATCAGTGGAATTCTTGCTCAAATCTATAGTTTTCTTCCCACAGATCACAAAAACCTGAATTTCTTATACCTTCACTGAACTGCCAATGTCATTTTGCCATTTCCCTCATTAATGAGTTAAAAGAAACTTCTACATGTACTCATTTTCTTTTTTTATAGGAACTATGGTTTTAATGATTAGAAAATTATGCTTTGGTTACATACAAACTTTGTTTCTTAAGAAGTATTAAAGCTTTCTTCATATGGCAGATCACTCATCTCATCCCTTTTATGATTAATTGATCTCACATGTACAATCCTCAGTCTCATCGTTACTTCCCTGAGATGCATAGTTTACATAAAACAAATCACGCGGATAAGGAGGTTTTTGTAGAAGTGTTGTGAAAGTATTAGAAAGAGAATTATGGATTTTACGTCATCACAGATTAGCTGTTGTGGAGATCTGGCTGGGGCTGAGAGGAAAATGAAAGAGAAGACAAGCAGAAAGTGGTGTTACTTGGAGTGGGTGGCATGATTCTGGGAAGTTTAGAAAAAAGGAGGTAAGTTAACGATGACTTTAACTAAAGATGAATAGAAGAGACTCTGCTAAAATGTGTCCAGTCCCAGCCTCAGATGCTAGGTCACTGTTCACTGCACCCTGGTATTTTGGTTTCTTAATGATTATAGGAACATATGTTCTGGCCATGACAGAAATTCATAACACAAGGTGTCTTTCTGCCCTAGCTGGTGGCATCTGGAGGGTATAGATTCAGTTGTTGGGTTACTTAATTAGCAGCAGACAGTACATGCAGGTAAGTCAAAAGCAACCTCTGCAGACTTGTATCAATCTGGAGGGCAGACAAGCCCAACCCTCCTTTTTTAAAGATTTTATTTTTTTTAGAAAGAGGGGAAGGGAGGGAGAAAGTAAGGCAGAGAAACATCAGTGTGTGAGAGTAACATTGATCAGTTGCCTCTTGTATACACCAGTGGGAGAACCCACAACCCAGGAATTCATGAGCAGCAATTTTGAAATTCATAAATACGTACTAAGCTACTATTATGTGCAAGGCACAGCACTTAGGCACTGCATGGTACACAAAGAGCAATACAGACAGTCTTTCCATGTCCTGACCAGGAATGGAACCGGTGACCTATTGCTTTCCAGTAAAACACCCAAATGACTTAGCCACACTGGTCAGGGCTCCTTAATCCTCTTTGGGGAAAGAAAAGATTTGGAATAGAATTGAACACTTCCCCAAGTCTAGAGGTGATAAAGACATATCATAACTGAAATACATCTGTTTAGGCTGCATAGTGGTTGTGGGTGTAAACTATCTGTTCAGAGTATTATAACAAATTTATTAATTCATATTACATCTCTTTTCCCTGAAACAATTGAAAATTCATGGGAAAAATGTTTATCAAAGGTAGAACACCAAATCCATTTTTCTTTAAACTAATCATTTGCAGCCTACATTCTTCCCAGCATGAGCTGAGTATAAGCCAAAACATTTTGTAGAACTCTTTCTATATTCTCTTTCTATTCAGAACATATATCTTAGAAAAACATATTAGCATTGATAAGTGTAAGTTATCTTGAGTAATCTTAAAGCACCTGACATAGCAAAATAGGTATATGAACAATGTGTGTTAAGATTCTGTAGATCACAAACTGAAAGATTTCCCACACTAAATTTAATTGGAGTACATCTTGGCTGATGTTTCAGCTACTGTCACACCAACTCTAGGAAGAGTTCAGACACTGGAGTGAATGAGGAAAGAAGTTTGGGATGGGGGATTTCCTGATCCTCACATTGACTTGATGGTGGATGAGGAGCAGTTAGTTACCCTTTAAGCAGCTCATGTTGATACTTCTTCAAGATTAGTTATTTTCTTAAAATAGGTTCTAAAAGAAATGTGCTAGGTCATCATAATCTGAATAGTCAGAAGGAATGTTACACTGAACTTCAAACTATTACTTTTCATCAGTTCTTCAACTCCTACTGTAATAAGGTACAGCTAGCCATCCCCAAGGGGATTTGTAATTAGATCCAGTAAGTGGGGTGTCCAAGAAAAATACAGGATATTTGATTCTCACCACCCTTCACGGCAGGCTGCCAAGGCGGATGGGAGACAGGGAACGGGGCCAGTGAAGTCAGTTTGCACATCAATAACAGTCTAAAGACCATTTTGAGTTACTCTGAATATCAACAACAGGTCGGCTTCATACTGGACTTGAAGCAAGGTTATTGAGAATTACTGTGAATATCAATACAGGCCATTTTCACACTGGACAGGTAGCAGGGCCATTTGAGAGTCATTTTGCATGTCAATAATAGGATAGCTTCATACCTCATAGGCAAAGATGATTATTTTGCACCTCAACAAGGTTAACCAGGAAGGTTTGCATAAATTTTAACCCAGGATGTAACTGGTCAGGCAGCCCCACATAGCAGTGCCTGCCAAAGGAGTCTGAGATGAGGCTGTTGGGGAGGATTCACGCCAGGGTTGGGACCCAGGCGCAGCAGCCATGCTAGAAGCTTTTGACCACATGGTTTTAGGAGCAGAGTGGGGGCTCTCTTGACGACGTGGCCTAGGAAGCAGGAAAGCAAGATGTAGCAGCCATGCAGGCTCTCCTTCCCAGCCTTGGTTGCAGCGTGTGTGCATGAGAGCTCGGAGATGGTTTGCTCCATGACATGAGGGAACAATGCGAAGACCGTGCAGGAAGAAAAGGAGAGAAAGGACTCTTGCTACTGGGCCATGAGAAGGTGCCACATGGTTCTGAATTAAGAACTGGAGATCGTGGCCACGCAGTGATGGTGCTGGAAACAGCGAGAGAGCTGCATAGCTGAGCTCCAGACTTCTGTTCTTTTTCTTCTGAAGGACGGTACCCCTGACTGGTCTGATTGGGTGAAGGGGGGAAGGCAGGACTGTGTGTTGGTGGGTGTTTTAAATGGTGGGTGTTTTAAAGGGATTTTGAGATATAAGGGTGACATTTAGCCATTAATCAAAATCTGTATAAATTTTAAATAAATACTTCCTTTCCTTTTCACCAAGCTCTGCAACTGAGAGCCATAATTTCAAGGGCTGCAGGCAAACAAACCTAGACCAGAGGGACCCCAGGGAAAGGGGGGACATTGTTCCTGTAATACCATCTGGGGCTCCCCTGCAACGGGTCCACATTCAGTAACATTACTTCACCTTTTTTCCAGTCTTAACGCTTGGATTTGTAAAACCAAACTTTTCTAAAACCCAACATTAAAAAATTATTACATTTATTCCCAAACTGGCATCCATTTTCGGCTTTCCATTACTAAAGTTAAACTTTTATGTTTTCATTTTGTATGACTTTGCCAATTATAGCTCGCAGGGTGGTTAAACTACAATTGTTAGAGGGAAACAGTCATGTGACATTTGTTAATATGCTCTTTAAGCAACGTTATTGGCCACAGTTCCTGCTCAAGGCCAACCAAAACACACACGCACGCACGCGAGCACTGCTATATTCGTTATTCACTGAGAGTGGGTACCTGAAGGAGAGGGCTGTCCTTTTACGACACCATTTTTAGTCTTTTCTTCTGAATTCATTACTTCCTTGTAGATAAGTTCTGTAAAGAACAATTACCAGTATTATAAAAAATAAATTTCCTTAACCCACAGAGAAAATTCCTTCATTAATAACAAATAATAACATTTTGATTAGACTGAGTAAGGTAGAAATCAATTGGGACTTCCTTTATTCCTCTAATGCTACATTTTCTTGCAACAGCAAAGAGTCTGGCAAAAGTAGGTGCTCAGTAAAGCATCTGAATAAATAAATGTATAAGGAATACATATTTTATTTGTTTTCTGAATTCTTTTGGAGACTTTTAATGGATTTTAACTCTTAAAGATTTTAATGGCTCATTTTTGAACATTGATTTTTCTTTTATACTCTCTTCCTAAAGGATGCCATGCTATTCTTGAAAATAAATCAGACTATTTACATATAAATCATGTTCTCATGACTTCAAACTATTATTTTCCATCAACTTTTCATCTGTTTTCTAGACTCAACTCTTGGATTTATAAAACCAAGCTTGCCTAAAACCCCACAGTAAAAATTATCACATTTATTTCCAAACTGGCCTCCATCAAAATGACTCTTCATTACTAGAGTTAAATTTGTTCATTTTCACTTCATGTCACTTTGCCACTTCTAGATAAAAATCATTCAGCACTACTAATACTTGCTTTAAAATGGCTTACAATTTATATAGTCATCATCCTTTACAGGTATTTCTTCAGTTCCTCACAAATTTAGTCCATGTCCATCTTCCCCAAGAGATATTTATATCTTATCATTTAGCTACTCAGCACAGACTGCTAAGAGTGCCTTCTGGTCTTTATTTAAATCAAATCAAGTCTTTCCCATCTATCACTTAGTACCTTTTCTTTAAAGTTTATCTCCTATATGTATTTGCTCATTTTCCATATTCTGCAGCATGACCCCATTGCTATCTTTATAACACTTTTGGCTTATTTCTACCCTTTGTTTTCCTCCTATGTCCCCATTCTAGTATTTTCCTCTGATTTTTTCTTTTCCACATTTACAATATTAATTTATTCAATGTATCGCAAACATTTCTTTCATTCAGATCTTCCCTTTATGTTCTTTCTCATTTTGACCTAATCATTAGATCTGCATTTGGTTTTTTCATATTTATTCTGCTCTGTAATAATTTAATTAGTTTAACTATTCTTTATAATTCTGCTTGGTTTCTCCCTGAGTATAATCTCAATCATGTAGTATGTGTTTAAGAAAATTTTGCTGGGAAAAAAATGAATTAATGTACTCATTCATTCTGTTTTACTTTAAAAGAGAAATAAGCTACTTAGATATATACTTTTTCTATTTAAATTCTCAAATGCTATATATCAAGTGAATGATTTCACATATTAACTATCTTTTATTTTCTAATGTTGAAAATTATCTCAGATGTAATTTTATCCATTTTATATGATAATTTTATGTACAAACATGAAATGTTTAACTGTGAAATTTTAAAGTTTGCCCTCTCCCATGACAAAATCTTTGACCATCAGTACTATTTTAAAAAGTGTCAGTAATTAATTCTCTTTATTCTTGAGCAAATACAACATAATTAAGAGTATGAAAAGATAGATTAAATTTTAAGAACTTTGAAAATGGTCTAAGAAGATAGAAATTAGAATATCATCTCTTACTAAATTATTTTAAAAAGAAAATCCTTGAGAATACTTTCTGAGTTTCAGTAAAGTAAAATATATACTTTATTTAGGTATAATAGAGTCACCTTTCCATTCTTCAATGGTGTGTTCTCTTTCATCCAACTGTTTGTCATATATCTGAGGTGGAGGCTGCAGAATAAAAACAAACAATAAACTTTGTGCAATAACCTAAACATGACTAAAGTCCTATGACGCATGAGGGCACCTTGTTTTTCAATGATTTTGGTGGTGATGAGAATAAGGAGTAATTACAGTGGTGCAGAAGTTAAAATTTCCCCACAAATTTATGGAAGATTCATTTATATGCCAATATTTTCTGCTGAGAAAATATGGCAGCAAAATTCAAATCTTGCAAGCTCATATCCCCAAACATTCTGATTCAGAAATCAAGTCCAAGCAACGAATAGCCAGTCTTTAAAAAACAAGAAAAAACACTTTATTAAGTAAGTAATCCATTCACTTGCTCTATAACAGAACCCTACTAAAGTACCCAGACTGATAAGATTTTGTTCCATTTTTAGACCCTCGTGAAGAAGAGTCTGTAACCTCCCAATAGACTATAGTACTATTCCCCAGTATTAAGGAATATTAAGATGTAATCCAATTTTTTCTCATGAAGCATAAGAAAGTACATTTGTGTATAGCTGTGTGCCCTATATTTACATAATTCCAGATATTTTCCCCCTCAGGCAGAAGAAGCTCCCAGCTGTCTATAGATGTGGGTCCCCTTGAGCCCCTAAAGGACCCCTTGGTTAGCCCTTTCTGGGAGAAATGATGTGGCAAGGGCCTTCAGTCTGACTTACGGAATCAGCATTTCTCTTGAAATGAGAAGTTCAAAGATGGAAAAGGAGAGATTTTCATAAATTTAGGTGCCTTCCAAGAAGAAGGATCTCAGGCAGATTCCCTGACCTCTTCTTCCTGATGGCTGGAACTGGGGATCTATCACGCTGGCCTAGGGTACTTCCAACTCAGGCCAAGTGATGTGGAGAGAAAAAATCTCCGTGAGGCAGAGAGAGAAAGGGCTCAGGAGCTGCCCCAGCTGGCAGTGAATTGAGTGAAAAAAAAAAATGCAAACTCTTGCATGACATGAAACTGGGGACTCTAGAATTCATCCAGTCCAACACTCCAAAAGGAACAGTTTCTATAAGAACTGAAAGAGTTATTCAACAAAGTGATTGAGGCTTATTAGGATATACATTCTTCTAAAACGGCTGTTGTAGGAAGCCTTTGGACAAGATTCTCCTAGACAGCTTCTGGCTTCTGTGGGAGGTTCTCTGGCTCATGAGCAGCACCCCAGTACCACAGTGGCCCTTCCTGACTGCATCCAGAATCTCTGGAAGGCGGAATCACGCCTGACATGTCCTAGCCATAGTATGCTGGGACAGCCACACACACGACAAAAGTAGCTGGGTATAAAAATAGAAGACTTTGACCAGTTGTTTTGAGGCAACTTAATTATTGAGAAATAAGTACTGATGAGGCCAGACATTTGTTTAACAATAGTGATTGCTACTAAAGAAGACACTAAACCAGCTACTATGATTCAGATATGTTAGCTGAGCAGCCTTTGCTGAAAGGGTTAAGCAAGACAAGACCCTCCCCTACGCCACTGTGCCATCACTGAGGACACAGAAACACTGACTACAGAAAGGTAAGGGGACTGAGATAACCAGGCACTGTCTTGGGAACCTGACTAAGGCAGGACCTTCCACCTCAAATTATAAAGGACCCCCAAAGTATAGGAACGCTATTATTTAATGAGTAAAACAAGTTATTTTTGAAAATTTGTGAAACTGTTACCTAAATAAGCAAAGGCAAAGCAAACTCAGGTTATGCAAAGATGCTTTGCCGAGTGGCAGGTTTCCTGCTCTGCCTTCTCCTGAGCACGCGGAATGCAGTGGTAAGGTCCCATCTAAGGGGGCCTTGTCTAGGCCCCCTGCCAGACACACTGCACAAGCTCTCAGAGGTCCCCAGCGCTCTGTGCATTGCTGGCACCACCTCATTCTCATAACAATTAGACCAGCTCGGGGTCCACGCAGCCGGCTGGCTTCTCCACGCAGTGGCTTTTTCCATTTGAGTTTCAAAATTGAACGTGGTTCAAGAGTATAGTTCCTGCCAAAGTTCATGAATGCCATTTTCTCTTTGCAATACTACTTTGAGAGAAGTTTTCCTTGGAGCTTCAACATCCAGCTATTGCTGTTGTATAAAGTACAAAATACATAAACTCTAACCACAAACAAACTGCAAGAAAGAAAGCAGAGTACTGAGTCCAAGATTTTTCCTTTCAATAAACCAAGAGGGCTGCTTTAAAAATACTTGCAGGTGGCTCAGCTGGTTGGAGTGCCATACCACGTGCCAAAAGTTTGCAGGTTTGATCCCTGGTCAGGGCATGTATGGGAGGCAAACGATCAATGTTCTCTTACATCAATGTTTCTCTCCTTTCCCCCACCCTTCCCGGCCCTTTTCTCTCTCTGAACATATCTTCAGGTGAGGATTAAATGTATAAATAAAAACACTTGTATTACAGTTATGGCTAAAAAGGCCACATGTTCAGGGTTGTTTGTTGGTTTCTTTGTTTTAAGAGGGGATGCAACCATCTGCAGTGGACTGGTACATTCACAGAAAGATGTCTTCTACAAAGCAATATAAAAGAGCAATTGACCAGCAAACCAGAGAAAGTAATGTCATATTCAGACACACAAATACATGACAACAATCATTACCATTCCATAGTACATTACTCTCCCTGCCTCCATCTGCAAACAAAAGCTAGGGTTCTATTGCTCACTTGTTTGTTTTTCCCACCTTATTAAACAGGAATGTTGTTGGCTAGTGATGCACAGATTTGAGACCATCAGCAAGAGGTGTTTGTTCAAATCATGACAGTAAATGAGGTCACCCATGGAGGGTATGCAGATAAAAAGAGCAAAGGGCCAAAGTAGACCCTATCAGAAACCAAGGGCTAAAAGTTGACCTGAGGAACATAAGTCCATGAAGAAGAAGGAGGAGAAGGAAAAGCAGGAGGAAGAGAAGGGGAAGAGAAAAGGATCATTTAGAGACATATGTGGAGAATGAAGATATTGCAGTGTTATAGGGGTTAAGTGATTGGAGAATTTCAAAGGAAGTAATTGGCAGCTTCTTGAAAGAGAAACAAAGACTTTGGCTTTGAAGGCACAATAAACTATGCCTTTAAACACTAAAGTTTCGAAAGCTCAAAACTGCCACCACACCTAGAACAATCCAGATAGATACTTAGTGGGGAACATTAATATGAGATAACACCTAAAAATTGGAACAATATAGAAGAAATATCCACAATGATAATATGAATATTCTATGTAGTAAAACAAATAGTAACTGCAGAAGAGATTGTGACACTGAAAAGGAAAAAAAAAAAGACAGAATGCTCTCTCACCTATCTCTGAGGGATTAATAAATGAAGAATACTTTTCTCTCTCTAATTCAGGGAAATCACTTTTTTTGAGAAGATACTATAAGCTAGGCTCTTTTTAAAATTTTTATTATATTTTATTGATTATATTATTACAGATGTCCTAATTTTTTGCCCTTTGTCCCCCTCCACTCAGCACTCCCCACTCTATCAGCCAATCCCCACTCCTTTGTTCATGTCCATGGTCATGCGTCTAAGTTCTTCAGCTGCTCCATTTCCTGGACTGTACTTTACATCCCCATGGCTATTCAGTAACTACCTATTTATACTGTTTAATTCCGTCACCTCTCCCTCCAATCATGCACAACTCCTCCCATCTTGCAACCATCAGAACGCTCTCCGTATAATAATTGTCTCTGTTCTTGTTTGCTTGGCTTAGATTTTAGATTCATTTGTTGATAAATACATATCTATTGCAGTTTTATTCTTCATATTTTTGATATTCTACTTTTTCTTAAATAAGTCCTTTAACATTTCTATTATAATGATTTGGTGATCATGGACATCTTTCATTTTTTCTTGTCTGGAAAGCTTTCTATCTCCCCTTCAATTCTAAATGATAGCTTTGCTGGGTAAAGCAATCTTGATTGTAGGTCCCTGCTTTTCATGATTTTGAATATTTCTTGCTAATCCCTTCTAGTCTACAAAGTAATTTTTGAGAAGTCAGCTGACTGTCTTATGGGAACTCTCCTATAGGTAACTATCTGCTTTTCTCTCTCTGTTTTTAAGATTCTCCCTTGATCTTTAACCTTTGGCATTTTAATTATGATGTGTCTTGGAATGGGCCTCTTTGCATCCATCTTGTTTGAGACTCACTGTGCTTCCTGGACTTGCACATCTATTTCCCTCACCAAATTAGGGAAGATTCCTTTCATTCTTTTTCAAATAAATTTCCAATTTCTTGCCCTTTAGTTTTTCCTCTGGCACTTCTAATGATTAAAATTTTGGAACATTTGAAGTTGTCCCAGAGGCTGCTTAAGCTATCCCCCTCTTTTTTAATTCTTTTTTCATCTTATTGTTCTGATTGGTTGTTTTTTCTTCCTTATGTTCCAAATTATTGATTTGATCCCCAGCTTCATCCAGTCCACTGTTGTTTCCTGTTTGTTCTTTATTTCAGTTAGTGTACCCTTCATTTTTTACTGGGTACTTTGTATGCTGTTGAGGTCCTAAGGTCCTCAAGCATCCTTATAACCACTGTTTTGAACTCTGTATCTGATAGATTGCTTATCCCCATTTTTGTTTAGCTCTTTTTCTGAAGTTTTGATATGTTCTTTCATTTGGTCCATGATTCTTTGTCTTCTCATTTTGGGAGCTTCTTTGTGTTTGTTTCTATGTATTAGGAAGAGCTGCTATGACTCCCTGTATTTGTAGTGTGGCCTAATGTAATAGGTGTTTTGTAGGGTCCACTGGCACAGCCTACCCTATCACCCACGCTGGATACTTGAGGTGTGAAATTCATGTAGACTGAGCATACCTTCCTCTTGCAGTTGATCCTTGATGGCTGTTTGAAGGTCAATGGGAGAGATTTACCCAAGCTAGTTCAGATGCAAGGACTGGCTGTGACCACTGACCACATACTTCTGCCCTCTGTGGAGAATCAGCTATGCAGGGGCAGGGTGGTGGTTCTTCAACATGGTCTGTAGCTGTCCACTGGGTGCGCAGGCTCTGAGGCTTTCCA